CCCCCTTTTTTTTTTTTTTTTTTTTTTTTTTTTATGTGACAGTGGGAATGATGCTCAATACATCCCAACCAGGGCCTGCATCCCAAGGGAACTCATCATGTGGCCACAATATGACTGAATGGGAAGAGCTCATGAACAAGTTGTACACATACTTCTACCTGTTGCTCTTCATACCAGGGCTGCTCCTCAACACCATGGCTCTGTGGGTCCTTTGCAGACACATTAGGTACACACACACACACACACACACACACACACACACACACATCAAAACTTGAGGATAACAGCAGTAGTAATATTACAACTTTATTCTTGGGAAACTAGATTGGCTTTTGGCAAATGTTACTATGGTGCAACTACTAAAGATGATCTTAAGCTTCTCACCACAACCCAGCTGTTGTCTCCAGGGCCCCAGTGTGACTCTGGCCCCTTGGCAGGCGGCGGCGTAGGCCTCGTAGCTGGCACAGAGCAGCTCTTTGCTGCCCCGCTCAGCGCACAGGTCGAACACGCAGTCGCTGTGGGGGAAAAAAAAAAGGCAACAAATACACAGCGTGACTTAAAGTTTTTAAAAACTCAATTTGAGGGAGCAGAGAGCAGAATAGTTATTGACACAAGTTTAGAAATAACAGTGAGGTCATGAAACAGAGATGGGCAAGTACCGATACCAGGTATCAGTATCGGGCTGATACCAGCCTTATTTTAAGGTATTGGTATCAGCGACGACAGCCGATACTAATGGCTGAGAAAGCCGTTCTCTAAGTGAACTATATCAAAGGCTCTTGTTTGTCCACTAAGATGCAATTTCTGGATGTAGGTGTTTAGGGTCCATGATTAATCTGTTTTTAACAAAATGTAGGTTTATTTGCTAACCCAATTTTGACATGGCTAACAGAGCGTTTTCCTCTTTTGAATTTAATTCATGTCCATGCAATCATAGTCTCATTAACTCATTCAGTGCCAGCCATTTTCAGACCCTTCTTTACCCAACCATGTCGGGGGAAAAAAGAATACATCAAGAATAATATTGGATTGAATGACTGGATCCTTAAAAAAAAAAAAAAAAAAAAAAAAACATCTTTAGTATTGAATGAGTTGTGCCGTTACCAACATTATACATTTATTTGGTATCAAATAAGTGGTATCAAACATCCCACCATCCCTAGTTAGAACCATGTCGGAATCACGGTTAGAATCATGTTAAAATCACGATGGAAACACATTGGATTGATTGTTTGAGTTGGTTGCGGTTGTGGACTCACTCGAGGTAGGTGGCGGGCGGCAGGACGGCATGGCAGGAGGCGAAAAGCCCAGCGGCATCCGTTAGTGCGCCGCACATGGCGGGATCCTTGTAGCCGGCCAGTTGGTCCTCGGAGCAGTCGGACGTCTCGAATCCTGAATCTGGATCCGTGTCCACTTCTCGCCTGAATGCCGCACAAACAGCCACCCAGTTTCTCGTTATAATGATCAAGGCAGCCATTTTTAATTTTTTTTGTGAAATCCCAAATTTCTGTTGTGAATATACCTGTGAACGTGGATGTGGCTGGGCACTAGCGAGGTGTCATCTGTAGCGCGCAATTGTCGGTCGCTGACCCTCCAGCTTTCTCCAAAGGCGTTCAGGTCCCTGATAACCGTCCCGTCCGGCTTCATGTAGTCGTTGGTGCGGATCCCGTCGTAGTTTCCGCACAGCCCCCTGACGGCGTTCTTGTACGTGCTCGGCAGGATGATCTCTGGACGCGCAAAGGTGGAAATGTGAGGGAAAACAAAAAAGAGGCTTTGGGGTAGGGTTTATCGAGCCCCGCCTTTACCTCCACGACTTCTGCCGTCGAAGCGCACGGTGAGTCCGAAGTCGGTGGTGAGCTGAACCTGCCTGGAGTTCATGGTGATGAGTAAACCTTCAACTGGACTCAGAGGGGGCGAAACGCTCTCCCTGTTCACCTACGGCACAGACAAAAACAGCCACTTTACAAATATATCCAGGAACTCGACCATTTTTTACTCTCATAAAATTATCAAGTAAATTTATCACTTCCCCTTCCCTTATCTATCTACAATTTTTTTTCCCCCACTAATTCCCCCCCCCACTCACATTTTGACTTAATTTATGTAACGTTATCACTTTTTTCCTTGTGAAAGTGTGACTCTGTCCCCATAATGTTATTTTATTCTCATAAAAATTGTAACTGCTCTGTAGAGTTTTTTTTCTGCTCAGAATATTGTGATTTTACTAGGCTTTGTTCTTGCAAAATTCAGACGATCTTTCAGACTTTTTTTTCCTGGAACGTTGGGACTTTACTTTTATGAAATTGCAACTTTATCTGTTAATTTTACAACCTTTTCTCCCTCCTAATATTGTGAATCTATTTTCAGGAAATATTATATAACATCCTTTTTTTCCTTGTAATATTTACTTTAATCTTGTAAAATTTAGACAATTGTGTAGCTTCACAGCCTTTTTTTTCTTTAGTAAAATTGCGACTTTATTTTTATTCAATTACAAATTTATCTGGTCATTTTACATGCTTTTTGTAGTTTTTGTCTCATAAAATCTAGTCACTTTACAATAGTTTTCTACAGTAATAGTGTATCGTAATTTTCATAGCATAATACAACTTTAAATTGCAACAATACCTGGTAACTTAGTAATAGTGTATCGTAATTTTCAAGTGTATCGTAATACAACTTTAAATTGCAACAATACCTGGTAACTTCACAACAATTTTCTCGCATTCTTATGACTTTAATGTCTTAAGTGTCCAAATGACAAATCAATCTGCCGATGTCAACTCCGCCTCCCTCATCGTTTTTTGACTCATTCAAAGCATGTCACGGGTTAGGAAAAGAAGGAAATAGCACATCTGCTTGCAAGTAAAACATCGTACCAGGACTTTGTTCCCTTGCATGAAGCGTACGTTGACACCATAGACGTCAATGAAGAGCTGGTCCGGGAAGGAGACTCTCTTGTTTCCGCCTCGTCGGATGTTCTTGCCCCTGACCCTGAGGGCGGGCAGCGAGCTTGGTGGTGACTGGTAGTCTGCCGTCAGGACGTAGGTGTACGGGCCCTGGAAGTGGTGCGTGAAACCGTCGAAGGTTCGATAGTGAGGATCTCCCGACACGCTGCACTTGTCGAACTCTACAAGAAGGAGAGAAAAGACAAAAAAAAAAAAAGGTTTACTTTGCTCTCTGAAAATGTACAATTGCTTTTTTCTGTCTGACTTTTATCCCATACAATAACAAGATCATATAAATCTTGTGACTTGTGAATTTTATTCACATTTTTTCTGTATGCACGACTTCGTGAGGGCGGGCAACGAGCTTGGTGGTGACTGGTAGTCTGCCGTCAGGATGTAGGTGTACGGGCCCTGGAAGTGATGCGTGAAACCGTCGAAGGTTCGATAGTGAGGATCTCCCGACACGCTGCACTTGTCGAACTCTACAAGAAGGAGAGAAAAGACAAAAAAAAAAGGTTTACTTTGCTCTCTGAAAATGTGCAATTGCTTTTTTCTGTCTGACTTTTATCCCATACAATAACAAGATCATATAAATCTTGTGACTTGTGAATTTTATTCACATTTTTTCTGTATGCACGACTTCAGGTCATGACAGTAATGTCATTCCGGTAAAATTACGGCCGCTAAAATTACATTTTTTCTTATTATGACTGTCCTCGTTCTATTGCAACACTTCAAGTAAACTAATGGGGTGGTCAGTGAAAGGAGGGCTTTCTTATTAGTTTTTGAAGACATGAAAACGTGGACTCACTGGCAGGCTTGCAGTAGACGTCTCCGTATTTGTCCAGGGCGCACACCGAGTTGGTTTTACAGCTGTGCTCTGAGCACGTAACTAGGCCGCCAAGGTTACAACGACATTTGGAAATGCATTTCGCCGTCAGCCATGAGTCTCCCACCTACAAAAACATAAAAAGAAATACAGTGTGTAAAAAAAAAAAGGTGGATGAACTCAAAATCTCAAGGCAATAAAGTTTAATAAAATGTTAAAAGTTGGGCAATTCAACAAAATATTTTTGTTTTTGTGAAAATTGCCTTGCCTGCATTTCACAATAAATAAATAGGAGTTGACAGAAGTGATGTCCCTTGCATTGACGTAAGTTAAGATTTAAGTAAAAACAACTCGGCAAAATGTTTCGTTGCAAACAACTTGGTTACAATTTTGTTGCCATAAACACCAATAATTTCTATTTTAAAGTTGTACCAACTTAAATTTGTGTTTTAGCCCCGCCAAAAATAGCATTTATGCTAAGTCCGGCGCATTTACACTGTTTATTCATGTGTTGATGAATGTGCACTGTCCCAATGAAACAAACAAACAAATAAATAAATAAACATCTTGGCTTTTGACAGTGTATCTTCAATTCAAAAGTTTTCCTGTTGTTTAAGTGGAATTTCCACATTCAAAAGCATGCCGAAGCCAAATGAAAATCAAATGCCACTATTCTGCTTGCAGAGTAAATGTGGCATCTGTAAAGCTGAACTTGTTTATAATAGACCAGAAACAAATTGTCACTTCATTCCAACTTTATTCTTGTTGCCAAATGAACGTTTAATCTGGTAACTGCACAGTGATCATGAAAATCTAGAACATTTTTCCTATCTAGTTGCAATTTTTTCTTAAATAATGTAACGTTTCATTTTTTTCCCCACGCGTACAATTACTTTTTCTGCATCAGCATTTTTCTGCCAGTGCGAATTTGCGGTGTCGTCCACCTGACTGCGGCGTTTGCAGACTTACATCATGGTACTCGCCGTCGGAATCCAGGCAGCCGCATTTGTCCAGAGGCACACATTTGCCGTCGCTGAGGACAAAGCCGGCGTCGCACTGGCAACCCTCCACACAGCTAGTGGGTGGCATGTGGCACCAGATGGGGAACAGGTCCGAACAGGTGGGGGGGCAGGGGGCGGTGCAGTCTGAATAATGGCTGTTCGGGGCGCACGGCAACGCTGCAAAAAAAAAAAAAAAATCGAAAAAAATCTTTGCAATTTCTTTTTGTAATATTTATCTGCCATCTGGGAACAACTTTTATTCTGGTCATGTCGCAATTTCATTCCTGTCAAATGACAACTTTTCCAGCCCAATTTACAAAAGTAGTCTTACGGCAGAAGGTTCGGTTCCTCCAGCTGATGGTGACCCCGGCGCTGCTGCAGGCCTGAGCATACGCCTCCACGTTGTCGCATAGCGTGGCCTGCATGCCGTCGTATTCGCACATGTCGTACACGCAGTTCCCAATGAAGGCTTCGGGGGGTACCAGAGCATGGCAGGCTCGGAAATTGTCAGACAGAAGCACTCCAGCACACTGGGACTCGAACGCAGCCTCTTCCTCCGCCGTGCAGTTGGGGTGCACGTCAGGCCGCTTGTCTGGCTGACAGCTACGACCAAAAATAGAACATAATCATGTATTCATTCATGATTACCCAGATTAGAAAATACAAAAAAGTTCATTTTGATCAAATAGGTTGTTCTAATGTTTGAATGTTGTATTTATCATAATTTATTCTGTTAATAAGTAACCAATTATTCTGTAAAATATATAAAAAAAAATTTAATGTGTAAAATAGTTTTAATTTAATGAAACCATTTTTT